CGAAAGGATTACTTTCAAATCAATGTCCTAACGTTTGTTCAATTTTCTAAATAAATTGTATTCTCGAACCTCGTATACATGAAATTTAATGAAAAGACAGTTACGTAGGTAATTTGCAAAAAAGACTATCTTGAATTCTATGTCCTCACGTCTGTTTAATTTCCAAAATAAATCATCTCAAAACAGTACTTTCCCCTCTCATACAAGAAACATAACGAAAAAGCAGTTACCTTGATAATATAATTAGTAATATTAAACAGCACTAGGATCACAAAGAGATTACTTTGAAACCGATATCGTCACGTCTACTTAATTTCCAAAACAAATCATTCTCAAAACAGTACTTTCCCACCTCACACACAAGAAACATAATGAAATAGCAATTACCTGCATAATTTTCAAAAAAGACTATCTTGAATTCTATGTCCTCACGTCTGTTTAATTTCCAAAATAAATCATCTCAAAACAGTACTTTCCCCTCTCATACAAGAAACATAACGAAAAAGCAGTTACCTTGATAATATAATTAGTAATATTAAACAGCACTAGGATCACAAAGAGATTACTTTGAAACCGATATCGTCACGTCTATTTAATTTCCAAAACAAATCATTCTCAAAACAGTACTTTCCCCTCTCATACAAGAAACATATTGAAAAAGCAGTTACCTTGATAATATAATTAGTAATATTAAACAGCACAAGGATCACAAAGAGATTACTTTGAAACCGATATCGTCACGTCTATTTAATTTCCAAAACAAATCATTCTCAAAACAGTACTTTACCACCTCACATACACGAAACGCAGTACTTTCCCACCTCACATACACGAAACGTAATGAAATAGCAGTTACCTAGATAATTTGCAATATTAAACAGCACTTGAGATCGATATCCTCACGTCTGTTTAATCTCCAAAACAGTACTTTCCCCTCTCAAACACACGAAACACAACGAAATAGCAGTTACCTAGCTAATCAGCAATACCGAGCATCTCTAAGTTCACTGAACCACGTAATAACTTAAAATAAATAGTTCCTCATGCTTCACACACCACCCAAGTATTTCCCAAAAGCTCCATTTACCCGGTGCACACGTTTTTACCGTTGTCTATTTGCAACCCCATGATCATACACACGAATGAACCCCGGGTCGGTGTGTGCCTGAACGCGATGTGCGGCCCCGATGATCGTATCTCCGTATGTGGGTCAGACACACAAGGGAGAGACGAGCTGGAGCGGCTGCGAGCAGGAAACTCTGCATTCGGAACCGGACGAGACTTTCAACGGCGGCGAACGAAAAGAGAGAAGGTTGAAAAAGGGAGAGACCGCCTCGCCTCGCCGCGCCGCGCCGTGCTGCCACGGTATGGGATGAGTCAAGAGGCTAGGCCGGAGATAGTGCCTCGCTCTGATATCTCAAATCCATTTCTGGCTCGTGCCACCCAACTGCGGACAACCGTCGACCCCGACGATCTTCCCTAGTTTTTTTCCTCCCTCGCTGCGTGTTTCTGCCGCGTTTCAAACCGTGTGCCTCGACCTCCTACCTCTACCTACCTACACGCACAAATCTCTCCCCACACTCCCCCGCGCGCGAGCGACGACGACACTTTGGAGAAACGTCGACCGAGAAACGAAACCTTTGTTGCGTTTCAAGCTGGGGATTTTTCACGTGGAATCTGAACGTCGGTTGATCGCATTTCTCTACCCGACAGACGAAAGTGTATTTCCGCGGAATAGCGGTTTCGAGTGGTTTCCGCGTACGCTTTGAAGCGAACTTTTCTGTTCGAAAGTGTTCACGATGTTTCAGTGGTAAAAATTGCGCAGACGGCTCAAACGTGAAGTGTAACGATGAGCGTAAAGTTTGGAACGCTGCTTTTTTTCTTTCTTTTTCTTTTGTTTCTTCTCTGTTATCGATTTTTCGAGACACGATTATGCAAACGACGTTCACGAGAGTAAAATCTTTAATAATACCTTGAAGTCCGTTGGTTTATTAACGGAACGAAGGAATGGACTCTTTTTCGGACGATTGCGGTATATTACGTACTTCAGCGGTCGCCCTGCTTTATTCCCGCCGAGATAACCCATTCAATTTTTACGACAATCTACATTGTTTCACTTGTACGCGTTTTTCTTTCTTTTTTCTTTTTATGAACCTTTTTAGCGATACGATGTATATTCGGCTTCTTTTAAATTCCATTCGAGTCATTTTGCATTTAAAAACATCTTATGCTTTGAATAAAAGTGATAATTATGTATTAAAGAAGGCACGAAGAGAAATTGCGAAATCAGTAAAAATATTCAAATAGTAACTCTTTTCCAAAATATAATATTTCAAAAAATTGATCCAACTTCACTTCAAAAAAATCTAATAAATGTAAACAAAAGTAATAATTATACACTTAAGGAAGTATTAAGTGAAATTCCGAATTTACTAAAAATTTTCAAATAATAATTCTTTTTCCCAAAATGCAATATTTCAAAAATTGATCCAACAACTTCCCCTTAAAAAAATCTAATAAATGTAAACAAAAGTAATTAGTACATACTCAAGGATGTATTAAGAGAAATTCCGAATTCACTAAAAATAATCGAATAATTACATTTCCTTCCGAAATATAATATTTCAAAAAATTATCCAAAAATTTCACATTAAAAAAATCTCATAAATGTAAATAAAAGTGATAATCATATACTAAGGCGAGTATGAAGAGAAATCGCGAAATCAGTAAAAATATCCAAATAATAATTTGTTTTTCCAAAATATAATATTTCAAAAAATTATCCAGCACCGTCACTTTAAAAAATTTAATAAATGCAAATAAAAATAACAATGATATTCTTGAGGAAGTATTAAGACAATTTCCAAATTCGCTAAAACTAATCGAATAATTATACTTCCTTCTAAAACTAATCCCACGATTCACAGTAAACCCATAAATACTCCCCAAGTAATTGTACACTTAAGAGCAGAAGCTCCTAAAAATTCTAAGCATATCGTTGAACGCAAACGATCGTAAAGATCTCTCGGGTGCCAGACAACTATTTCTCTCTTACGACACTTTCGAAAGCATCTGCACGTTCGTCCACTACGTCAATTTTATCCCCTCCTCCTCCGCCCCATCACACCGGCTACGGATGGAAGATCGTGGAAGAGATGGGAAAAAGGCAAATCGTAGTCGTTATTACCAATTACCAAACCGTTAATTCTATTTACGTTATCGCCAGAACGTGAAACGATTTCGGGCGACTGCCACCGGCCCATAAATCACGCTCAAGCACCATTATCTGTCTCATACACCGAGGCCGATGAATCGCGACGGCTATTATCGAGGCGATAGAAGCCAGAGAAGTTCGCACAATAACGCGTAATGGTCCGCGCAGTCTCGCCAGAGGTCGATAAAGGCTAATTAGCAGAAATCCTCGTCTCAGGTGGTCCTCCTACCGATTCCTAATCACTTAACCGGGGCGACAAGAGGGGCGTCTCGAGAGCGTACCGGAAGTTAAACGCGACAGGGAGGATTTTAACGCGGCGAATATGATACCGCGGGCAACGTGGCTCGAGCTGCCAAAATTTCTGATTGGCTCTCGACAGACTACAGTTACCGCCGTATTTACCAACGATTCAACCGTGAGATACGCCACGCTGAATATTGAGATTGCTCGTTTGTCGTATTTGGGATCGTAGGCGAATTATGACGGGTGATAAAGGAGAGATAACTTTGTGGTTTCTGATTGCGCGAACCGTCGCGGGAACTGTAAATTTCACGATTAATGCTGGAACTGATGAAATAGGGAATTTGTGGCTTTCTTGGTGAAAATGTGATTGAAATTTTTGAGTGGTATTTTGGTAATCTGTAATGTCTCTTAGAGGTAGAGTCGAGCATTGTTCGAGTGAAATTTTGAAAAAATTTTCGAACGAAGTTTTGTACGGCAAATCTTCGAATAAAATTAAGTTATTCGAAAATAACGAATAATCGATGAAATTAGAAGAAGTACTATGTAGGTCGTCAATGGTCCACTGTTATATTAAATGAAGTTTCCCTTAAAATTTCTACCCTATATGTAAAACGATGTACCTTATTAGTGATGCTTCTTCTTCGTAGAGTTATTTCGAATAATAAATAAAGTCTCAGGATTTACCTGTGACCAACAAATAATTTTTCTTCGAATAAAATCGTTATTCCTCGTTCACGAATAAATCCCAAGGCTTTATTCGTTATTTAAAATAAACTTTGCCCAACTCTGCTTATGAACAACCATCGAAACCAAATTATTAAAAAAAAAGGAGGATGTTCCAAAATTCTACACAAAAATTGTCACCAAACAACGTGAATTGATAGATCATAGAAAAATGTCTGGAATAAAAATTCATCAAATCCACATTATGAATTGTCACCAAACAACGAGAATTCATAGACCATAGAAAAACGCCTGAAATAAAGATTCATCGAATCCTCGTTACTCATCCAAAGGCTCCATTTAAACCGTAAACAGTATTCCAGTGCGCAAATGAGTGAATTAAACGACGAACGATCGCGAAGTTAGAGCAACGAAACCAGACACACAGAGAGCCATCAGAATCGCTGAAACGATAAACGTCGCGAATCGCGCGAGCGTGGGCTGATCCTGTTCGCGATTGGCCCTGTCAAATTTCGCGTTCCGGTCGGATTAGAGGAGCGCACAGGAAATAAGCAAAACGCTGAATCGTATCGACCATGTGTCGCTCGGTATGTTGGCGTTGTTCGGTGAAAATAATGATTGGGACGGTTTCGCGACAATGATCACCGGCGTACTGTCTAGCTGATCCGTGACGAGAAAAGCGCGGCAGGCAATGGCCGATGATTTTGGCCAGCGAGACCAGTTCTGACACGCAACCAACTGTCAGTGATATACGGCCACGGTGTCGAATGTTTGTCACCGTGAGTTTCGCGGCTGCGTGAGTCGTTAACGTGCTAGCTTAATGTCATTAATCAGCATACGTTACGGTACGTGTACTCACCGGGCCGAATTGTTCGAAGTAGTTTTTCACGTCTTCCAGCGTCGTCGGTGCCGATAGTCCACCGACGAATATCTTCTTTGTCCTCGTCACCATCTGTGAACAGCAAAGAAATCGTGGACGTTAGTATAAGGACGTCGTGAACGTGCGAAAATATCTAAATATTCGGTGCCTTTTTTGAAAAAATCATGAAAACTTTGTAGACTCAAAATTGTCATACTTTTTGAGAGAGGTGAGTCGTCAGTTGCTCAATGGAAATATGAAATATGATGTAAATACGAGTAAATATGAAAATGTCGTTCAAAGTAATGATCATTTTGAACATTAAAATTGTGTTTGAGTTTTGGTAAATCGACATTTATGTTTGTGAAAGAAGGCACTGAATTAATTTGCACACCTAATGTATCATCGACGAAGCTTGAAATTGACTTTTAGGGAAAAATTTCATTTTAGAGTAAAAATTTTGTATTTGCTTCCATTGTTTGGCAAACATTAAGATTATGCACAGTCTACACTGATTTTCCTGAATCTAGATCTGCAGGTGTACCTTGCTATGTTCACCTGTCGAGATGATTTTCTTTTCGTCTAGATTCCCGAAACTTCAAGAAATATTGATTGATGTTCTTTTTTCAAACTAATCTATGAGGTAGAAGAACCTCAATATTGAGATTGAATTTTTAACGTTGAATACATTTTTTAGAAGTAAAAGTATAATTAAAATGATTCCAGGACCAAGTTAGTATCTCTTGGGTAACCGAAAATATTGAAAGCGAAACAATATGTCAGCTTATTTACATTCGATTTTATTTCACAAAATTTCGCACGATTTAATTTTTCACGCCAGCCAATAAATTGCGCTAAATGTAAAAAGAAATCTGCGATACAGTGGCACAAACTGTGCGATTTGATGTGAAATGACTCGTACACAGACGCACGCCTGCCTGTTCTTGTTTCCCAAAACTGTACGAGTGGTAATTCTGGCTATAGAGGCTGAAGAAACTAGAATAAACCTATTTCGGTAGTATAGAGCTGGCGATGCTCGTCTCTCGTGTGACCCGAACCACCCATTAACGAATTTAGTAACGACATATTATCGATTGCACCGAACCCAGTTGGAACTGCGATAATTTCGTCGAGAAATTTCGATTTTCCGTATTACGGTTATTTATTGAAATTTGTCCGCAGGAACAATGGAATTAGATTGTCGGTGACACTCAGAACGGCGAAGCTTTGTAAACGTGAAATCCGAATTTCTGGACACGTATAGATAGTTTTCACAAACAGCTATTGATCGACACACGTATATTTACGTCAACGTGGGGCCGAACACAGAGAGGACCGGGGAATCGTACGTGTCCATGTTTGGCATGAAAAATGGAACGTACCGGAAGCAGAAACGATATTTATTTCCTTCGCGAAAACGCATCGAAACTCGTTATCATATTTTCAATAAATTTTGTTAACCGAGCGACAAAATAAATTTTATTAAAAGTGCTTTTCCACCCGAAGCAACCGTGCGAAATGATAAATACCCACGAGTATTCGACGAAGATTATACGCGACAGCAATTATCGTCAGAGAAAATAATTTCACTTTGT